ATGTTAAGAATCAATGTTGACCATAGTGGGAAGAGTATGCATCCCTCGCGCGTAACATATCAAAGTATACGACCTGGTATAAGGAAAACATTAAGTTTCTTTGATATATCACATGGTGAGACTATTTTTCATCACAAGAGGAGCCTCCCTAATCAAATCTGCCCATTTTTGGCCAGTCAAATACCTGTGCGCTTAGCGCGGCTCGAGTTAGTTCTTCTGTTCTTAGTCTTTTTCCGGTCTTCGTCAGTTCTTAGTTCTCCTTAGAGTCTTTTGTTAGTTATTCCCTGTTATTCTTGCTGTTAGTTCTGCCGTGCTTATTCATTTTTTACCATCTTGTCGTGCGTAATTTGTTTTTAATTACTCTCTTAACTCTTTTGTGCTCATGATCAAAGTTATTTTGAACTTTTAAATTTTGTCGATCCAGTTCTCTTTTATCTCCAATGTTTTTAAAATTTTTGTGTGTAATCATAACTTTGACAACAATATCGAACGGCCAACGATATTGTTTTCACCATTATTATAAGCAAGTAACCAGAACGAAGTAGACCAGCACCTGCAGACCAACCTCTTCGCTCCAGATTCATCGGAACCAGCAGCTGCCAGCCACTCACCACAGTGGTCCTCGTGCCAAGCCCAAAGGCCTTCTGCAGCATGAACAAACCCATTGGGGCACCCGCAGGACATCGCAAATTCAACCTCTCCCACCCTGCCGTGAGACAGCCTGTTCCATTCTGCTGCAAAGACCAGGAGCTGCAAAGTGACAGTCCGGGGCCCCAAGAGGAGCTTCGCCTTTGATCCCCGCTGCTAAAAGTAGGAAAGAACTTCCCTAACTTGAGTGAGCCGCTGTGCGGTGAAGAGTGAGGTCGAGCAGGAGGCTTAGTTAATTATCCTGATTGTAATTTAGGTTTCATTAGGCCTATGTGAATGGTTTTGCGCATTCCTGCATTCCCCATTTATAATAAAGCTTAACATACTTTGTCCCACTATCGGCAAACTAAATAACTCACAAGTGTTACTTCTCATTTCATTTCATTTATATATTGTTAATTTTGTGTTGTGTCATATAGTCATCATTTGCTATTCATTTATTCAGTTGTTACCTATTTAGCTTAAATAAATCTTCATTTATTGCCAAGTCGTTGTCTGTGTAAATATCTTTTGGACAAGAGCTCGGATCACTGTATCGAGAATTCATAACCCAGATATTGAGATTGATTCATTATTGATAAGCGTACTGACGAATTAATAAGTGATTTACGAAGTTATTAATTTGATTAGTCGCCTTACGAGTGCAAATATTCTCAAAGAGCTATTTCCCCTACAGTATTTATAGCAGCGCAATTATAAATTGAGAATTTTATTATTATTCAGTATTTTTTGTATCAAAACATCTCAATAGATCTATAATTGTTTGGGCCCGTTTTGTTGGGGGCCTACTGGTATCTATCTATCTATCTATCTATCTATCATCTTACACAACTAGAAAGTTGTGTACGCATACAATGCATTTTCACTGTCAGAAAAACATACGACACACACCCCAAGTAAAATTCATAACATTTATTCTGAAAACCTTTTACATCAGAATTAAACAACTAGTTTTAATTCTGTTTTTCAATTATATCAAGTGTTTGAGATTTGCATCGAGTCAACAATTCCAAAAACAAATAACGAAATGGCATTTTTACAACTTCCTTTTGGTTTGGTAGATTTAAGTGCAACTAAAAATACATGTTAGCAAAACAAAAATTTTCTGTTTAATATAAGTTAAGCAGCTCTACGTATATCCCAACAGCCATCAGTGATACTGAGTGTTTGCCACAATATTAATACCACCGAAAGAATTCTGATCAGCCAATCAGAAATTAGGGTCAGTTTTGAATTAAAGTCCTTTTCTCTCTCTCATTTCTATTTAACAACCCCTCCCATTATCCTGGAATGTATTTGAATACAAACTATAAAACACAGTGGACAGTTTAATTCCCTTTTCATTCAGAATGAAAGTTCATTCCTATTAAAAGTGATCTTGTAAACATCTAATTTGGAATGAAAATGGCCAATGCGATTGAAAATTCATTGCGATGTAAGGGGCTGGAATATTCCGTTTCTTATTCCGAATGAAAGAATTCTCGCACTTGTATACACTCATTCCTTCCTTTAAGTTCATTCCGGTCTTTCTGCGCATGCTCGTTTCCTTGCCCTTCTGGCGCGATGACATATATATAGCTCGCACGACTCGTTGCACTAACCAGTTTCTATTCGCCAAAGCACGGTCTTCTACCTCTCTTCTCCTCCTCAACAGACGAAGCATTAGCAGAACAAGGTTGTTGTCGCACTGCTGCTTCAAGAATATAAGCAAAACAAAGCTGAAAAAGGCACTAAGAACAGCATCGTCAAGCATCTTGTTATCCAGAACGAGGACTACAGTGTTTTATTCAAGTAAACGTGAACACATAACATCCGTCCCGCCCCCTATCCAATCAGAAACCTTCCCTGCCCCAGACCTTGCACGACCCGAATAGGTGATTAAAAGGCGATTGAACTGATCTCCCGTATAAACCCTCATTCGGAATGAATATTTCCCATGTAAACTACCTGGAAAAACTTTAATTCCGAATGATTTCATTCAGATTTATTTCATTCCGAATGAGAAGCCATTATGTAACCACACTCAATGACATCAGTAATATTTAGGCTCTTTGGGCATCATGTTAAAGGTTACACAGTATATACTATTAATGAATTTATTTCTTCATTTATTTGGCATATTTCCCGCCTGACATGTTGGTTATTAAAATTTTCATCTGCAAAGTATCTGCAACATTTTGAATCCAGACTTTTACAGTATTTTCACACTCTGGTATAGAGTGCTCCAGGGATGACGTTATTCTGTTGGCTGACGCAGATGTTAGCATTGCACTGGTTCTGTCATCAAAAAGCCTGTGGGATTTTTCAGTTGGATTTTGGATTATTGCTGAAAATAAGCTCTGTGGCAAACAGATATTGACGCATTTTCTTCAGCCAGCAAGATAATTTTTTACAAATGAGGGCCATTTTCATGATTATGGAAGTCTAAGTGCAATCGAAAGATGTTAAGAAGCTAACATGCTAATTGCACTATGGTCACATGACATAACATCACCACCATAACAAGACTGTAAAGCCGTGGGCTCATTTGAGATGAACTGTAGGAGGATGCAGCAGGAGGCGGTGACAAAAAGCCATGTTGAAGTCGGAAAGTTTTCAGCAGCGTTCAGTGTGTACAGGAAATCATAGAAACACTCACATCCTGTTGTCCAATTGTTAAAATGTTATCAGACCCATAATACAGTTTGTTTACAATCTCCAGATATTTTAATTATTACAGAGTAACCTATTAAAATGCTTTACAGGCGATCTGTAGTTTGTGTTTATGGTTCAACCTCCATTTTATATTAATTCTCTTGTACATCTGCATCATATCAGACCTGCCCCCCTCAAACTACATAAATAAATTAAAAACATCAGCCTTACAGTCAAACACAGAGGAAAGACATAAAATACATCAGCTTTCATTAAAGATCACTCAGATATAGTCAGGGTTTCATATCTGTACAGATGTTATTTTAAGAATCCTCACATCTCACTGATCACAAGTCTCTGTGTTGCTTAATACTTCAATAATTAAAACAGTCCAATGTTAATATACAACAAATAAACCTTATGCCATGGAACAAAATTTGAAAGTCTCTTAAACTTGTTTTAAACACAGATCTTATTTCAGGCATCTAACCTAACCAAAACCTTTTCTAAAAACCCACTGACTTTTGAGACAAGGGAACCGGGAGTGCTAACTCATTTCCAGGTGTTAGGACTAATTCCTGGCGCTCTTTATTGCCACTTTTATTTACCTTAATGATTTGAATACTTCTTCCACCTCTGCATACAGGGGATTTTGTATTATACTGCATTAAATTGACAGATTTAAGAATGAAGTATGGCCTCTTTGTCTTTAATTCATACTCAGTGTCCAGTATTTCATCCACTCTCATCATTTTTTATTATGCTCAAAAGAACACAAGTATCGACCACTGAGGAAAAACAGTTTGGCTTAGGCTACTGCTTACTGAATACAAATGAGCAAATCTAACAATTAAAATAACACTTGCAAAACACTAAACATTAGCAAATAGAGTTCAAGAGCATAAATAGTACTAATTTCATACCTAATCACTTCAGTAGTGGGCGTAGTTAACATTTATAGCTAGCTATTTTAGTGCTAGCTAGCATCTGCATATCAACTCCCTAGTTGTAAGAGAATAACTTCAACCACTGCTCATTTTAGAAAGACCATCACAAGAAAATGTGTTCTTTGTTTAAATTATCGGACGATTAATGGACAATGCATCATAGTCGTTTGTTCCTGGTTTCTAGCACGGATAGCGGGGTCTGCCCATTGGTCTGACAGCCCATTATTCTGACAACCGTTGGTCCGACATCCCATTGTTCTGACCATATTAAACCCATTGTTCCAAAGTCCCGTTGTTCCGAAATCATCATGATGCCCTGTGGTTAAGGTCTGGTTAGGTTTAGGCACAAAAACCGCTCGGTTAGGGTCAGGAAAAGATCATGGTGTGGGTTAAAATGAAAAAGAAAGCGGCAAACACATAAGCCGTGAGCCTGCTTCACCTCAAGCCTTTCCCAGCTGACCCGGAACCGGTCGCAGCGGACCATCAAGGCAGAAATACACCCGCCGGGAGCCATTCAGCACCGTGGAAAGCTCCCCACACAACCCGGACTCCAGAGTTAATAACAGGAGGTTATGGTGTCCTGGCCCAAAGAAGTGGCCTCCAATGGATGATTAAAGAAAAGTAAACACTGACTGAAGAAATTAGTGCAAGGTATTAAATCATACGATCAAGTGATGAGTGAACAGATCATTTTTTCTTCATTTATTCATTCATTCTTGAAGGCAGCTTTAATCAAATATTAGTTAACTTGTGTGCAGAACTGAAACAGTGTAAATCAATCAGACTTTATTTATATAGCTCTTCTCATACAAAGAAGTTAAGACTTTATGGCTGTCAACTCTTTCCAGTCATACAAAATTTATGTAATTCCAAGACTGTTTAGGGACCCCTGTATGCGCAAATATTTAAATACACCATTTTGAAAAAAGTATATTTGAAAATCTTTGATTTTTAGCGAATGTGCATAGTTTCAATTCAGTTTCATAGATAAGCAAGATTGGACAAACAACATTTTTGCCATGAATCAAAAAGCCTTTGCAGAGGGTGTGGCTTAGCAAAAAAAAAAAAAAAGGCCATAACTCAAGTTGTATAAGAGCAATCCTGATTAAACTCAGTGGAGACATCTGTTGTGGCAAATTTGTTCCCAACCTTGGCCAGAAAAGTGGTCTGGACCTCCAGTCATTTCTTTGTTAATAACCCTTTTGTCAAAAGCACTGGAGTCACAAAAAATACTCGATGGACACTTGATGGAGCAGGATCAGATGCAAATGGCTTGGTGCAGTTGATACAGACACAATAAGCTAAGCCAAAACTATTCAGTTTAGACTAACGTTTGACAATCTGACTGTGTCTTAAATACCATGAAAAAAACCCTCCTGCTTGCCCCAAACATTTTTCTTTTCAGTCCAGCCAAATCCTGTGAATGTTACTGTGGCCTTTTTTGAGACCTCACAAATTGCTGCTTAGTGAGGACCCATGAGGTCTGGCCTGGCACCAGGTTCCTATACAGCTCTTTCACATAGTAGACTTTGAATTGGCTGTTTGACCTCTGCATCAGCTGCACAGTGTTTCACCTGCTCATCACCATATCATTGTGTGGTTCACACTCACCGCCACCGTTCTCTTCACTTCTCAACATGTAGACAACATGTAAACTTGGTGTATGCTTGAATCTAGACTCCCTCCCCCCATCAACACACATCTAGCTGTCTTTTTGAGGGCACACATGGGACAAAAGAACATCAATCATGTTTTTAATAATGGGAGGTCGTGGGTGGACATTATGTGGCAGGTGGTGGGCCAGGACCATCGACCAGGCATCGATCAGATGAACATCCATTCCTTTAAACATGGCTCTGAGCACTTTATAACGCTGCAACGAGTACCAGTCACTGAAGATTCGCGACAGATCAAATGTCAAAGCTCTGGGGTTTCCTGTCCGGATGATAACCACTGTCCCTGGAGCCCTGGTCAGCAGCCGCACCACTGCCCTTCGGATGCCCTGCAGCCGCCGTATGTAGAGCTCTATGGGGAGAGGTGTAATGTGAGCCCAGATGCCAATAATTACGATGGTATTGGTGCCTCCGGTTAAGCGGTCTATTTCATTGGCAGTGTAAGGTAGTGCAGTAGGTGGTACCGTGGCACGACTGACTAAAGGAGGGCCGTGGAACTTGAACGTCACCATGATATTGTTTGCATTGTCTATGGCCATGAAAGGTTCAAATTTTGACCGGCCATGTAGGTCAAACTCCTTAAGACCTAAAAGTATGACAAGGGAAACAGATTAAGCTGCAGTGTGAACAAAATCAAACTGTTGCTAGAAATTCTGTGGATCAGGTACCTGGTAGGTTTTGGATGAGGAATTCATTCCACTGCCTGATGGTGGAGTCTCCATACATGTGGACTTTCTTCCCTTTCAGACACTTAGTGATGTTATAGATGTTGAACTGTTGAACTGTTGTTCCATCTAGTGCTCGCCATGCACCCTGGTAGTAATAGCCAGAGGGTCCAGATGTCACACTGCTACTCTTCACCTCCGGTTGACCTGAGAGGAAGTAATAGGTGGGGTTATTCGACGATCTGTCTTTTAAACATTATACAGAGTGTCCCACAAAAAAACCCCTCAGGATTAAGTTTGGTTTCTATTATAGAAATTAATTCTGTTTCTCATTAGGTGCTAGAAAAAACAAATGGTTCACGTGACGCTTTTATCAGCAGTTTATTATTGTAATATTTCAAATTAATCTTCCTTGAAAATGTTGGATTCAGTATACCATGCTGTGCTGTGATTCGTCTCTGATTCAGGTTTCTGCACACATCATTGCAGTTCATATGAGAAAGTTAATTTGTCTTCTTGAAACAACTGTAGGAGGTAACACTGGTACATTTGTCTTTATAAATGCCATATTACATGAACTACCTTCTAATTTATGTTCTTTACTGACTCCAAAAACTATCAGTAGCAAGCTTCAGTCATGTGGACAACTTATGTACGTCATTCCTCAAACCCACTTTGTCATTGGTGAAAGTGCTTTTTTTGTTCCCTTATTTTGGTGTCAGCTACAAAGTTAAGACTATTTGCCCCCAGATGCAAATGTCTTGTTACTGAATGCTGCTAATTCAATTGTTTAACGTAATGTGGCTGTTTGTTTAAAGTCTGTTGGGGAATTTCTTTAGCCGTTTACTTTAAACATTTTGCTGCCGTGCTTTTAGTTTGTTTGTTCTTTTATGTAAAATTCTGTAAATTCTGCCACTGTCTATTTTTCATTTAATCTTTATTTACATGAATATTCCCATCGACATTCAACCCAGCATGGACCTTTAAGTCCTAAAAGCTGGGGTGGATCAAGACCTCGGACAAGACCTTTGTCTCTACCAGGCCATGCTACATGAAACATGTAAAGGAAACATTGTTGCATCCTATTTGTGGACTACAGAAACATTTTGAGGATATGCTTTAATGGCTTGGTTAGAAAAGTTCAGTAAGTTTGCTGATGCTGGAACAAACTTTCACTGATTCATGGCCAAATTTGCAAAATGTAATCGACATGTTTGGAACCGATGGCTCCCCCTAGTGACAGATCTCACAATAATTCTTCATAAGTGGTTCAACATTAGAATTTAACACACCCTGCAATTTTTGTAACGATTAGAGGGGAAAAAAATCTGCGAGTTTTCTTTGTTATGTCGTTCCCTTTTTTTTCTTTTTTTTTTTTTTATGTGGGACGCCCCATAGTGGTTGATTTGAATGAAACTTTCAGAAAGTGTTGCTACTACATATGTAGACAGTTTTTGGGTTGATTGGCTCAGCAAATATGATGTTACGTCTTTGTATGTGCTGAGCCACACCCTCTCTAGTGTCTTCATATTGGGCGAGGTACTCAAGGTCTAAATTTGCCGTATCCCTGAGAGCTTCCTGACTCAACAGATGAATAAATGTGGACAATTGGTCTACTAAAATGGAAGAAACAATGATGGCAACAATAACATTAACATGTGTTATAACTGCTAAACATTTGGGCTACCTGCTAGCTGACAAGAATCATGGCTAAAACCACAATTAAGCTAATTTCCAAAAGCAGAGAAGTGGCAGTTGTTTAGTTGTTGTGCACTGTAATGGTACACTCTTAGTACATACAAATAGTTAACACTCCCTCCACACAGTTCTGGGAAAAAAGTGTTAGCTTTCTAGCTGAAATCAAGCAAGCAGTTGCAGTCTCTCCTTATACTGGGGCATAACAACTGGTATAATGTGAAAAAGTCTAGATACACTGCTAACAGCTGATGCCACGTTCATCAAATTTTGGCGTAGTATTTCATGCTCCCAGGGCTCTTCTCAAATTGGCTGAATACATCTATAGGGGAATGCTAGCAAGACAACAGTCATAAGCTGTGTACAAACAGGCTTTTGCTGGCTGTTTTACTTTGTCTGTAGCAAATTTAAGTTTGAGTTATGGACAGTGGTGGCAGTGGCAAAATTTATACTTAACCTTTCTTTTTTGGCAACACAGTGACATTGCCAGGTCCTGAGGCCTGAATGTAGACTTTTAAGTTGACACCCCTGAAAAAAAGCGCACACAATAAAATATCTCTTGAGCACACTACAACACGAACAACATAATTACAACAAAGGTGGACACAAGTCTGAAATCATTACAAGAAGGTACAAGTAGGAAAAAATGTAGCCTTTAAAATCCATTTTGTGATTTAAAATTGCACTAATAAAAGGTGCTGTTGTTACATTAGCTACTAAATGTCCCTTCCATCTGCTAATGTCACCACATTACTGTTGCATAAAGCACAAGTGATTGCCAGTTTGTTGAACAACCTACGTATTTCATGGTTGAGTTAAGAGACGGACTCAGTCATGTCAAGGGCTGAATCTTTCATGGCTGAGTAATGAATTCATTTAGGTTGTGTGGTGGTGTTACAAGAATTATGTAACGTTATCTGACATTATGGTAATCGTGTAATATAAAACAAGTTTCACCCTTTTTGGTTTGATGTCTCATCATATTTGGGAGGGAGAAAGGCTACTGATTTTAACTCTAGGCAAGGAAAAAAAATGTTTTTTTATGTCAATAGGCTAAAATGTTCTTCTGGGACCGGCCTATGGCAATGCTAGTCTAATGACTTGCACTGCTCTCACTCTTTGTTGATAATGAGCCTTTTGGTCCCTCTGCCTCCCCCTCCACTAGGAGATTACAGCTGCAGAAATATAAGCTCCACACCACAGACAGAGTCTGCCCGTACACACAATCACTATGTTAACCTTTAGCATCCCACTGCTTACATTACTAAATGGTTATCAAGGGTTTAAAACCAAAGTTGAGCGGCTTTGGTGTTAATGTGAGTTTGTTGGGACCATTTAATGGCTCAGTGTCGGATCTTAGCTGCTGCTGTTAACTCTTGCTAGCTGAGCAGACATTAAACCAGGCCCCCAGGAGCACAGCATAGCCCTGCTTCCTCATTTTCCCAGTGTGCACTCACAGTATTGCAGCAAAAAAAAGATCTGTGGATGTTTTTTGTTTTTTAATTTGCCTGCATTAANTAGCTATCTGTAAGGTTCACTTGCAGTGTTGAACCAACACATTAATAATTATCACCTGAGTTTCTCTGAGCTCTGCAAAATACTATAGCATCTTTCAGTTCATTGTTTTGGTTTTGCAGCAGGTCAGATATTTCACTCTGGAGTTGGTGGAGACTAAACTAGAACTAAAGGGAGAATCAATATTACACTCACATTTGCCATTAACACAACTCCAAACAAATGCGAATGTTGCCACATGTCTACTAGATGTCTACTATGTCACTGCTAACACTCCTACTTCAAGGTATATAAGGGGATAGAGTATTTGCAACATTGTGGTTTGGTTAGTAACCCGGATGCACAGCCATTATAGAGATACATTATGGATGTAATTTCAGACAATTTTAGGATGTCTAAACCAAGATAAGGTTCAGAAAAAAAACAGGTGGAAGCTGCTGAAACTTAAAGAGAAGGACTTAGTCATCAGGAAAGAGTGTGATGTTTTGAGAACTACGGTTAATAGGTGTTGAAGATCCCTACAAGCTGGCTCAGTCCATCTTGAGATGACGACCCTAATGCAGCCTGCCTATTTTCTATCCCAACACTGTGAATCTTATTTCTAATATAATATACATATTAATATAGCACACTTTTGAACATCTACATTTTAGTGAAATTTGACAAAAACTATAGAAATCTTGTACTAGTAGGAGTAGGCTATGAAATTGGATCAGAATCAGATATTCGGTCAAGAATGCATGAAACAGCAGCTAAATATCAATATGCTTGCAAGTCAAATGTCATCAAGGCTCTTGCCCAGGAAGTTGTGGTACAGTTTAGGCAATCACAACCGCCTCCTTTCCTCAGATAAGTTTTTGCACTCTTCTCCATGATTTGTAAAAACTTTTGGCAATCTGTGGTTATCCAGATGCTTTTTGCGAGCCAACTGATTAATCAAGCCAAAACCAACAATATAATAATAATAATAATAATAATAATAATAATAATCATTTTAAGCAACAAAAATTGGGTACAGTCACATGTTTGGTTTGGTTGTTTTGTTGATGTTTAGTATGATCAATATGGCCAACTGCTGGACCGATGACATGCAGTGAAAACAAATGTAATATATCGCTGTTATGTTTCTAGCTTGTTGCACAAAAGTGGCAAAAAACATTCATCTTTAACTTTCTGAGAAGACAAATTCAAGAGAATTGAAATGTATGAATTTACAATTAAACATGCAACCCCAAATCAGAAAATGATGGGGCACTGTGTAAAATGTGAATAAAAACAGGGTGCAATGATTTGCAAATCCTTTCTAACCTACATTCAACTGAATACAGTACAAAGATAAGATATTTAACGTTTAAACTGCTAAATTTTATAGTTTTGTAAAATATACACTTCTGATTTTGATGTCAGCAACACCTTCCCAAAAAAAGTTGGGACAGGGGCAACTAAAGAACAGCTGTTTGGAACATTTCACAGGTCAACAGGTTAACTGGTAACAGATGATGTTATAATTAACAGGTTTGAAAGGGGAATCTTTGAAAGGTTTAGTTGTTCACAAACAAGGATGGTAATTTTGTGAAAAACTGTGTGGGCAAACAGTCTAATAACTGAACGACATTTCTTAATGCACACTGAGTTGTATTTGTGTCATCATTGCGTCATAAAACTTGAGGCATCTTTAGATTCAGTCTTTACTGCCTGTAGTTACAACAGCCCAGTGGCCAGAAGAAAAATGTTGGCACTGTATACATGCTACATTTCCATGGTTCATATCTATCATATCAATGTTTCAAAAGTAACTTTGTATATGAGATGACTTTGTTTTCTGGAGGTGGAGGAGATGGTGAATGGTGTGATATCTGTTCAAAGCCAACAAACAATGACACCAGTTGTGATACAGGAAGTCATGTCTGTTTTTGTAGCGGCTTTGTAGGCACCAAAAGTGGGTGTTCTGTAGTGACCAGGACCCCAGCCAGTTTTCATGGTGGCCAATCAGTAGAATTACAACTTCCAGGTTTGTCACATGATGCCCCGTGGCCCAAAAAGACTTTTTCTCATTGAATTACAGCAAGAAAGAGACCTCTGTAAACTAGTGGAGACATTTTTTTGTCACAACCCCTGCTAAATGACTCATTTTACTACAGGAATTAAATCCATTCAGTCAAATAACAATGAGAAAGTCGAGAAGAGCTGGACTACTGAATTCATGCCAACAGTGCATTTAACCAGAAGTAGCCAGCTCAGCCAGCAGAAGTCTCCAGTGTGCCTGCTCTATGGGTCGCACAATGTGTAAGCATTGGCTATCATTTGGGTGATCATTTGACAACTAAACCACTTTCTGAGCAATTTTCATATGAATAACTGGGGCCCTGCTGACAATGCTATATCCAGGTCTCTTTATACATCAATAGTAGCAAGTGACTGCTATGTTTCCAGCTGCTCTTTAAGCAGAATGTTATTTTAAGTTATAAAAGATGTGAGTCCTGTCTCTCTTTTCCCTCACCTCCGAAAGAGCTTCCTCTCATAGGCCATGGTGAAGCCACCTTTTCCTTTCATGGTGTGGCTGATTCTGGCATCACAGCTCAGGTTCTTTGGCTTGTAGCAGAACCAAGGCTCACCTGTCCGGAGGTCAGTGTAGTTGCACAGCGGCTGCTGGGTTGGACGTAGGCAGACGTTACAGACAGTAGTTTCAGAGAGTGAGCCTGTGCGGAAGAGGCTCCTGAAGTAAACCCTGTCAGGATGTTCTCTGTTCAGCCTTTTCAACACGGAGATGGCCTCACCAGGATGAACCAGCATCACCTGATTGGACAGAGAACCAGAGTTTTCACCAAATCCAAGTCATGTTAAGTCACATTAATGAAGACAATTATTCTGTCATTGCTGCCTTTTTGCTTGTTATTCATACCCATTGTCTCTGCACTCATATGATTGTAATTCTGTCTGTCACAAAATCAGTTTGGCTTGCTGTCATCATATGCTCTGACAGGACAAGCTCATCAAAAGCCCACTCCTCTTAACATCCAGATCCTCAGCTCTTTTCATCTCATTTCATCACCACCACCACTAGCATCTAGACTCCATGGGGGGAGATACCTAATTCACTATGTCTTTACCACCCTCTTGGAATAGATGACATCACGATGGGGTCTAATTGCCAAAGACTCTTGTCATTTCTCATACTTATGTGCATATGTAAATAAATATTACTTTCTTTTAGAATGAGTATCTCCTGATTGAAATGTTGTAGTGTTTTGGGAAATATTGTTTTGTGAAATGCCGTAATTTTGTTTCTAAAATGATGTGTTTTTCTGTGTTTTGACCCTCAGGGCCACCACTGAAGATAGATTTACACACCTACAGTACAACCACATTCAACATGATAGCTTTTAGCATTACCTCAACCTGTGCGTCTCCTTCCCAGAGTAAAGAGAACACAGCAGAGTAGCTCCCATTGAGATGATCCAACACTTGCCCAGCTACACCTGCACCAAGCTTCAGGTTGTGGAGCCGGGCGAGTAAGAAGTCCCCCCCAGACTTCTTGGGATGACCATGGAAGTCAGACATTGTTATCATAACCTCCAGCTGATCCCCTACTTGCCACTGTCCTCCTCCCCTCCTTGGGAGAATGGTGAAGGTGCTGTGAGCTGGATCACTGGTATTCACTGAGTAAAGAGGAGCTGGCAAAGGTGGAGTTTCAGGCCAAGCAATGGAGTCTAGTAGGAGGCGTTCCTCCAGAGTGTCCTCACGGGAGAGTGGCTGGAAGGTGCAGAAGCTGTGATTCATGTCAGGGTGAGTGGTAACTCTCGGGAGGATGATGGAGTTCACTTCATGCTGAAACTGGCAGGGGTTAAGAGAGATTTCTAATCAATACATGGACTGGTGCAAAGGTGATTCATCCAGCTATTGATGGTCTTCTTCCTAAAGCCTCCCCCACTGCCCTCTCAACAGCATCCTTAGTGGCTTGAACATAAAAATACTAGATGAGAGCACTATTTGACAACAGCTCCCTTCTAAAATGTAACAGTTATACTTTTGCTCTCTAGGGAAATGTTCATTTTTGAGTCCAGCCCAACTGATAAGCCTTTGTCTATGGGCCTGACTTAGCTGCACACAATCTGGAATTTTACATCTCTAAGGCGACGTGATTATTCAAGAAACCCCTAAATCAGTTGTAGAAAGGAAACTTTCACTTTAACAAATGAGTTACCTTATTTTAACCTTTAAACAGATTCTGTATGCAGAAGCTTACAGCAATGAAACTGTAATATCAATCAGATGTAATAAATGCAATCAAAACGGAATTAATCAAAGACAATGAGTCAATTATTTTCTATCTTTGCCCTATTGCTCCTTTACTCGTGACCTCCTTGGGTTCTGAAGAACAAGGCTGGTAGTAAAAATGCAAAAAGTCCAAAAACCTCCAAAATCAGTAACAGCAACTCATTTAGTGGATTGAGTGTAAACAGGATAAGCTCCAGCACTCGCAGTAACCTCATCTCATCAGGCCATGGTTCATCTCAGTCTATGGCAACAGAAAAATTGTTCTGCTCAGTTAATTGGTTTGTTCGAGATGAGCCAGGCCTGCGCAGATTCGATCACCGGCGATCGGCGCACAATGCATGCCAGTTAGTTTTGTGTCCGACTTCATCCCGACTTCATCCGACTTGCTCTGACGTATTACAAAAGTGGATGTCGATAAAATCGCAAAAGCGAGGCGGCTGCAATTTTTAGAGCCAGGCGCTGCAGTTGCTCTCCACCGACTGCAACGCCTAGCTCTCACCTGATCCAACAGCTGATTGGTTTAGATGTCAACTCAACGATATGACGTTTTAGATAAACTATTCACTTAAGTTGAATTTCAGAAAACATTTTATTTGTTTGATTTGAAGGTTTATTGTGTGAACAGAAAACATGTGTGACTGATGGTGAAGTTTAGTTGACCAACATTAAACATTTCAAATGGGGTCCATCATTCAAGTGATCCCACTAAAAACAGGTTCTCACCTCCAGAACGTCCATGTTGTGTAGCAGTAAGATTAAGACAGCCACGGCCAGAACGAGGAAGATGGCGCTCCACTCCCTTCTTGTACAAGCTCTGGCCTTCATGACAGTCCTGATCTATGGCAGCAGTAGCACTGTAACAACTTCCTCTGGTACTGAATAAAACATAAAAAGGGTAACTGAAACCTTGTTATGCTGAAACTTGAACCTTATTGTGAAATTCTCTCTATACAAGTAGAGTGACATGTCCAACTTTCAGCTATCAAGACTAGATCCGGTCTTACAGGTAATTCCTTTGATCAACCATCCATGAAAGCCACAACCAAAGACAGCAGCCTCTCTTGTAGTTAGGCAACCCCATAATGTACAACATCATGTACTGTAAATATCTGAATTCATCTGTACACTGCAGTCTCCTTTGATCCACAACACAACAAGTTGCACACGTTTTCCCTGTCATGACACAGATCAGAATAGCCTTCTGCAAATTGTTCAAATGTATTTCTGCCAAGACAACAAATGTAGTTGATGTGACACACCCACCAACCTGCTCATTTGCCGAAAAAATTGTGTTTGCTCGATTTCCTGGTAATGAATGTGAGGGTGGTGACTTCAGACAGCACTGGAGCACGCTCACAGCAGTAATAGAAAAGAGTATCACACCTTATTTTAACATTAAACACTCCCACGTGCCAGAAGAGCCACCTCAGTAACATGAGTCCCTTTTACAGGCACAGTTGTTATATATACACACATGTCATATCATTTATTATTATGTATAATATAACAAGAATGTTGTCTATCTGCTAGATTCAAAAAGATTTAAGGCGTAGTCACAAGGCTGGATTTTTGATGGTGTGTTGCCTGGCAACAAAACATCACCAGCGATGGATGTGATTACAGCAACAGGTAAAACAGGCTCTGTTATTGCACTTAAATATACTTAAGCACATCTGTTACTAGTAATTCCGTACTTTTAAAAAATATACTTTAACCCCCTTTGTTTCTACTGGAAGAATTTCTTAAGTACAATTTAAGCACACTTGAAATGCATAACAAATTCAATAAATTTTACTTAAAACAGATTTAAAATAAGAAAATAGCACACTTTTAGTACAATCATGTGCTCAACTAAATATTTTAAGTATACTTTGATCATTTTTGTAGATAACTATTATAATATACAATAAATATACTTCGAATCAATAAAGTGTTAAAAACAAACTTTAAAGTAGCATTTATTTGAATTTATAATGAGTTTCAAGTATACTTAAATTTTATCAAAAACACACAACAAAAACGGGCCTATGCTTTAGAGATGCTTTGCCTTACAGTGCATACACACAGAGGGCACCTCACTTCTATTCTGTAGTATAAAAAGTTATAATATATTGTACTTAAAGGGATACAGCACCCAAAAATGAAAGTTCAGCCATTATCTACTCACCCATATGCCAAGGGAGGCTCAGGTGAAGTTTCAGAGTCCTCACATCCCTTGCGGAGATCCAAGGGGAGAGTGGGTAGCAGCACAACTCCACCTAATGTAAGCTGGGTGCCCCAGATTAAAACGTCCAAAAAACACATAATTGAAACCACAAAATATCTCCATACTGCTCATCCGTAGTGATCCAAGTGTCCTGAAGCCCCGACATAAAAAGTTGTTTGGAAAAACATCATTTAAACTCTGTTTTTAGCCTGACTGTAGCCTGTAGCCAGTCTCCCCCCTTGATGTGGCAAGGCCTCACACAACAGAACAAAGTAAATGGTCCACTAAATTAATATATTAAAAGTGCAACAAAATCAACTAATTGTGGGAACAGTGGTTGGCTCCTCTACTTAGGTGTTGGCTTTGACTAAAACAAAAAAAGCAAATAAGTATAACAGGAAAAAACGTGACAAACATTTTAATAAATAAATTGCTCAAACAAATGATATACCTTGTAAAACAGGAGAAAGTTGTTCCTATCAGTCAGACGCTTGCAGGTGAGTGGACTCTAAATTTACAAAGAACTGAGTTAACTTTTGAATTAAATAAATAAAATTTGTTTTATTAGAAATTTTATTGTTTGGCATACCATACTTCCTGTCTGGCATGCTCTGGCAACCACTCCAAGGTTTTATTTCAAACAGACAGACCCTAGTCAAACCTTATTATCCGTTGTTTTTAAAGTTAAAAGTTTTTAAAAGATGTTTTAAAATGATCTTTCTCCATGAACTAACAACTATTTCCCTCTTAACAATCACGGTTTTAGAATATGTTTTATCAAATAAAAGCCTACCAAACTGAGCAAACAATTGCAGGCCTCAGCTCTCCTCTTAGGAGTGTGTCTCAGTGCAGGCAAAAAGACCCAGGTTGTTCTCCTCCTCCTCCTCCTCCTCCTCCTTCTTCTTCTTCTTCTACTTCTACTTCTTCTTCTTCTTCTTCTTCTTCTTCTTCTTCTTCTTCTTCTCTTTTAACGGCGTTTGGCAACCAGCATATTAGGTGCATTACCGCCACCTTCTGCTCCAGAGTGTGAATCAGAGATTAGATTCTATTGTGTAAACCTGTCCGTCTAATGAATTCAAAAAACACTCTTGTACTCAGCCCACTTGGCAGACTCATCAAAGTTTTAACATTAATTTCATGTATTCCAATTTTTCTCAACTCCCCCTTCATATGCTGTCTTTCTTGGTTGTAAGTGTTGCATTCTGTGATTGCATGTGTTATTGATTCCTCTGACTGACAGTGTGCACATAAACCAGTTGGGTGTTTTCCTATTTTGTGTAGTGTACTGTTTAAATTGGAATGAACTAATTTAATCCTATTGCATATTACCTCCTCCCTCCTTGTCCTTCCTATATTCCTGTCTGTTGACTTTATATTACTGATAAAGCTATATAAGAACCTTCCCCTTGTTTCATTGTCCCACCTCCCCTGCCATTCCTCCATTGACTTATTCCAGATTATTGTTTTGATCTCTGATTTACTTAACGAAATGTGTGTATTTATGATGTCCTTTTGTAGGGCTTGTTTAGCCAGTTTATCCACCTCCTCATTCCCTTTTTTACCTGCATGTGCCCGTACCCACATAAATTTGATACGCATACCTTGCTGTATGACTCTGGCGTGTACTTGTAAAATCTGGAACAGGATATCTTGACAGTTGGATATGAAGGATGTCAGGCTGCTCAGCACTGAAACAGAATCAGAGCATATTAGGGTATTTCCTGGTTTGTTTTCTTCTATCCAATTCAGTGCAAAAAACACTGCCCACAACTCTACAGTGTAAACTCCCAAATAATCTGAGGAACGCTTTACCACATGAACCCTTCTGCATGGAACAGAGAAAGCACCCTCTGTTGTTTGCTGTTCTGGATCTTTAGACCCATCTGTATATATCTGAGTGTACTGAGGGTAATGCTGGCTAACATGAGCTAAGAAAGCTGATCAAGTCTATCTTCCCTTTCTCTGTCTTCCTGAGGTCCAGGAGGTACAAGTCTACTTGTGGTGTAATAAGCTTTCATGGTTCCACTTCTGGAGTTACCACTGTTGGGCTCACGTAGAAATTTTCCATCCCCATGTCCTCTGCATACTGACTGCCCACCCACCCGAAGCTAGCCTTTTGTCCTCTGCCTCGTTCCCAACACTCCTGCATTACCACTTTTGTGGGGTGTTGCTCTTGGTGCCCCTTGAGGCTAGCCCAGTAGTTGCTCATTAACTGCTTTCTCCTAATGTCCAATGGCATCTCTTTCCCCAGAACTTGCAGGGCTGGGATGGGGGTTGTTCTTACTGCTCCACAACACTGCCTCAGAGCTTGAGCCTGAATTTAATTCAGTCTCTCTAGCAGACTTTTTGAGGCTGAACCATAAACCACACTCCTGTAATCAAACACTGACCGGATCATTGTCACATAGATGGCTTTTAATGATGAGAAGCTAACGCCCCATCCCACCCCATTTAAACACATCATGATATTTAAAACCTTCTGGCATTTCTCAACTATTTTATTTATGATCTACCCATGTTAACTTGGAATCAAAAAGAATTCCCAAGAATCTGAACATTTTCACCCTCTCCAATATTCTTCCATACATCTGAAGGCTAACATCAGGAAGAGCTCTCTTTCTTGTGATGACAACTGTATTTTTTTTCTCTGCTGAAAATTTAAATCCCCAATCATATGCCCACTGCTCGATTTTATCTATGGCTTCTTGCACCTTTCCATTAATATGCATGATGTTCCTAACCCTTTTCCACACTGCCCCATCATCAAAAAGAGATCTGCCTATGTCTGATTGAATCTGAGAGAAAACATCATTTATCATAATTGAAAAAATTAATGGGCTTATTACACTCACTTGCGGGGTACCATTTTCACATTGACTCGATATTTCATTTCCTATCCTTACCTGGATAGTTCTAGATGTCATAAAATCCTTTATCCAATTGAATATTCTCCCTCCTAACCCCATTAACTTTAACTTTATCAGAAGTCTGTCTTTCCATATCATATCATAAGCTTTTTCAACATCAAAAAATACTGCTATAACTGACTCTTTATTGATTTGTGCTTTTCTTATCTCATGTTCTAAGCAAATGATAGGATCCAAGGTTCCCCTTCCTTTTCTAAACCCACTTTGATAATGCAACAGTATTCCTTTCTTTTCTGTAAAATATGTCAGCCTTTCAGTGACCATTCTTTCCATGATCTTACATACATTTGATGTGAGGGCTATTGGCCTATAATTAGAGGGCTTCAAAGGATCCTTCCCAGGTTTCCTTATAGGTACTATTACAGCCTCTTTCCAAGCTTTTGGTAGCCTTCCTTCTTCCCATACTTTATTATAGAGAACCAAAAGTTTACTCAACGCCCTGTTACTAAGATGTCTCAACATTATATAACATACTAGGTCTTTTCCTGGAGAAGTATCGCCTGATTTACAAATAGCTCTCTTCATTTCATCTGAAGTGAATGGAGAGTTAATTGACTCATCCTCCATAGTCATACTCCTTTCTAATGCATCTAAGTGTTGTCTTTTTGTTATTTCTCTTCTTCTTCTTCCCTCTTCTGTCAAATTTCCTGAACCATGTACTCGGCTAAAAATGCTTTGACCATCATCTCTGATTTATCCCTGTAAATAACTGCTAGTTGTCCTTCAGAGTCTAAACCTGGATACTCCCACTCCTTTCTATTACCCCCCATTCTCTTGATCATGTTCCATACATTTCCTACCGGAGTTGTTCTTCCAATCTTATTGCAAAATCTTTGCCAATTTTCTCTCTTTGCTTCATAGGCATCATTTAGGTATGGTGAGGTATGGCAGCTGCCATACCTTGGAATCGGGAGAAAAAAAAGAGAGAGGTTCTGTAGTCACCTCATTCGAGGCGCACTGGCTGGTTGTTTTCATTGTATTGCACTTAAATAGGTCAATAATATGCTCATCAGTGAATACTAGTGTTAGTGAATACAAGTGTTAATGAATCAAATTGTTCGCCACTTCGCTCCTCTGTGAGTTAAGAGTTATGTGAGTTACATATATTTCCAAATAGTCGCCCAGCGGCAAATAGCCGCCGGGCACCTAATAGCCGCCAGGGGTTTGACCCCATTTTGCGTATTAAACGCCGGTCCGATTAAACGCCCGGGTGATCATTTCCTCATTCATTGCCTCATGGCTGTCCCTCCTTGAGGGACTGTTTGCGCTTTTACGCAGGGGTCGGTGGTGAAGTGGTGCACATGACTCCTGCTATGGACGAATGGACGGTGTGGGAAAGATGTAGCCAGATGTATTACCTGTTTTAGATAATACATCTGGCTACATCTTTCCCTCATCAAATATCCGTGATCACCTACACCCGCGTGCGTAAAAGCGCACACAATTCCGTGTCCTCTCACTGCGGATGCTGTGATTTGATGGCCCGGTACTCATTGTAGCCCTCTCTTATAAGACCCAATAATAATAATAATAATAATAATAATAATAATTAGTTACTGTGGACCTATATGCCATGTCTTTTAACAAAATTACCAGAAGAGTTCGCTGAAAAACAGGTAATGTCAGCCTGAATTACTCACGTGCTTCCCCGGTGAAAATCGCTGACATGCATGGGGAATACAGCTTCTACAGGCTCGCCATAGCTTACTGTCAGGACTCAGGGACCAGAATTCGGGATGGCGGGCCGTCAGGATGGCGATATTTCGGTGTGGCGGCCTGTAACTGTTGGTTAAATGGCCCGTTCGGTTGGTATTCGGATAACTGGGGCTTTACTGGTATAATGCAATAGCACCACCCAGCGGTGAAACCCGTGTACACGTGTACACGAAAAAAAAAATTATCCACTCTAAATGTTTAGAGATTTTTGTACACGAACTCACCCCTACATTATACAGAATTTGTGCACTAAAAACATTCTAGACAGGAACTGTAACCAAATAATGGCCTGGTGCAGGTTGGTGCAAAAAAAAAAAACCTTGAGCAAATAGCCCTGGTTCTTTTAAACGCTGTAGACAGCCTGTCTAAATGATGTCTT